CCATGTGGTGAAGACCTGAAGGGATTGTGAAGAGCTCCAGAAGGATGTCTCCAAACTGGGAGAATGGGCAGCAAAATGGCAAATGAGTTTCAATATAAGAACATGTAAATTAATGCACATTGCGGCAAACAAAATCAAAATTTTAGTTATCCGCTAATGGGGTTTTGAGCTGTCTGAGAGATCAGGAAAGAGATCTTGGTGTGCTGGGGTACAGCTCGACGAAAGGGTCAACCCAGTGGCACTGAAGAAGGCCAACTCCATGCTAGGTATCATTAAAAAGGGGATTGAAAATAAAACAGCAAACGTTATAATGCCATTGTGCAATGCAGAGTTTTAAAAGAAAGAGTTTTTGTATTCTGTGGGGCTCATTTATTTATTTATTTAAATAGTACTTCTAGAATTCCCAAACCTGAATGGTCAGCGGTTGGAGGATTCTGGTTTTCCTAATTATGGGAATTGTAGTTACAAAAGGAACTAAGTTCTAACAATGAAGTGGAATGATTTTGGATCATGTGTCCATTTTGATGACATTTAAAATATTACATGCTGGTCATACTGTCAGAAAACCACGGAAACTGTCTTCGGACAATCACTGACTCTACAGCTTGGAGACAGGGATGAGCACCGAGCCCTAGAAAGGATCTTTGTTAGTTACTTTGAAAATAAATTTGTGAAGGGAGCAGCTCAATGAAAGGAACTTTGTTAGTTACTTTGAAAATAAATTTGTTGTGATATTTAAATATAACTCTTCCAGGATCTGGTTACAGGCTGCAGTGAGAAGCCGTTGTTCTGCTTTGCACAGCACTTTTTCTCCCAAGTGTTTCAAGCATGTTCTCTTTGGCAATTTCGAGCAAAAACCCAAGAAACGGGGGTGGTGGGGGTGGTGGAGAGAATGAGACAGCACATCCGTTTCGCAAACCACAGACACTGAAAATTTCAGTCCAGGCTGCCAAATTAGGCAAGTCTCTCTCTTCTGGTTTTGGTGTGTCCTATTCTTCTCAAGATTCGTTTGCTGGGTAATTTGACTACTAACTTTGGACCCAGCAAACCTTACAAATTTCTGCATCAGAGGGGAAACTTGCTCTGCTGTCATGAGGGGGTCTGAGTCATCCAAAGGAAAGCCAGAAGAAAAAGAATACGGTTCGAATAGTGTGCTCAAAGTTCCATTTCCCCCTAATGAATGTGTTTAACACAGCACTGTACAAAATGTAAGGCCTCAATAACACACTGCTTCTGGAATTCCTTTATGCTGAAGCAGTTGATCAGTGGTTTTTGCTCTTGCTGAACTGCAATTATTTGACATGTGGTTTCTAGAATCCAACGTGGAATGCAAAACTTGATCTTCAGCAATGTGTCGATTGAGTAGCCTCGTGGTGCAGTGGTTAAAATGCAGTGCTGCAGTGAAGACTCTGCTCACATGCTGACTTTGACCCCTCAGGTAGCCGGCTCAAGGTTGACTCAGCCTTCCATTCCCACTGTGGGCGGGGCCTGTGTAAGCCTGCATAATTAAATTGTAAATACCCCAGAGAATACTTTAAGTGCTATGGGTGGGTAGATAAGCAGCACACTTTATTGTTGCTGGTAGCCGTGGAGGGAGGATATTCAGACCCAAGAATTCCATCTCATTACAAAATTGCAAAAAGAGAGAGAGAGAGAGGGAGAGAAAGAGAGAGAGAGATAGGCAAAAATAAAATCTAAATTATAGAACATAACCCATTGCAATAAGGTGAGCCAGTTAAGATGTAATGTTAAACTGTTTGTCCAACAATTTGAAGTAGGAGCAAAATCACATACTAGAAGTAACAGATAATATAGCTTCCTGAAATGAGTTATTTTTTTTAAACGAAGGCATAAATTTTTACATTTCAGAAGGAATATAAGGAAGGAGGGAGACTAAAGCTACCATTACTCTGGCTCTGATTCGGTTTTCCTGCAACTTGATTCGCAGCCTATTGTACACTTTTTTTTTCCTGATTCGATGAATATGTGAAGACTGGAGATTTTTCTGGTGTGAATGTCTACACTGGCTCATCCATCTGATGTGGTTTCACGATGCCACTGTCTCCTTTCCTTTGATCCTGCTTAGAAATGGGCCGAATCACGGTTTGGCACTTCAGCCTGGTTCAGCAGATTGGGTCCAAAGGTGTTGCGCGGGCATCCCAGATTCCCCACCCCACCCTCTTCTGTGGGTGCCCACTCCAAGGAAGCACCCTGGCCTTCTGTTCCTGTCTCTTCCTCTGAGTGAGCATCCATAAGAGTAGGTGGGGCAGGGAATCCAAGGCTCCTGCACAACATATGTGGACCTGATCCACTGGAATGTGCCAAAGTACCAAAGCACAGTTCGTACCCTTCCCTAATCCTGCCCTCTGCTTCTCCCCAGCTCTCACTTTGTGGTGCATTGTAAAGCCAGAAGGCTATTTAACGTGTTGCACAACACTAGGTAAAAGCGACAGTTTTCCAAAGTTCTCCATCATGTACCAACACGTACTGAAACAGTTGCCTGCTGTAGATACATGGAATCATAGGATCATAGAGTAGTGGAGTTGGAAGGAGCCTACGAGGCCATCAAGACCAACCCCTTGCTCAAGGCAGGAATACCATCAAAGCATCTCTGCCAGTTGTTTGTTGCAGTTGTTTCTATTTCCTATTGATTTTTATTTTCTTAATAATTTTTGTCATGCAGAGGTGATCTAGCACAAAACTAATATAGCAATGCAGCGATAAGGTGATTTAGCGCTAAACTTGGTAGTTTGGTTCTTTAAAAATACGTTGGGAGAAGAATACTACATTGGGTATCCCCGCTGCCCAAGAGATTATGCCCAGTTTAGTAGGTAACTAGAATAGTACTTACAGTCATTTCCCTACTCTTTTTGGAGAACAAAACAATTGATCACATGGGGGGGGAGGAAACGCAATTTGAATCAATCTGGCTTCAAAAAAAGGAGTAGCTCCCCATGATAGGGGTAAGAGAAACTCTTTTGCAGAAGCAAAAAAATATATAAAAGGACTGGGTTGATTTGCCTTGGCCTTTACGTCAATTGATCAGCTTTAAAAAAAAAAGAAAATCAAATGTACCTGCTTTACTTCCACAGCAAATCCTGTACTATTCAGCCATGTAGTTGCTGCCTCAGGAAGGCTGCCCTATGAACTGTTTCCGGAGCTACTTCTTAATGGCTCTCCTCAAGAATTCCAGAGACTATCTGATGGGTTACCAGGCTGAAATTATTTCACTCAAAGGTCTTCGTATTTTGCCCCCAACCTTTCAAATTGGGCTTCTTTTCAGTGATCCATAGCATCATCATCTTAGAAATGCAGAGATGAAAGGGACTCTATCCAAGCCCCTGTCAAGGAGAGGCAGAGCCAGGGATTCAAACTCCCAACCTCTGATTCCCTGGCCAGATACCTAAACCACTGAGATGTCCATCAGTTCTTGGTTCAAGGCTCGGCCTTTTATTATTTATCTGTCCAGTCACCACTATGTTCTCTTCTTTTACCTTCTGCATCTATTTTACCCACCTTAGGCTTACAGCTCGCGGTTTCATTCCTATTTTCCTATTTGTTACCCCCACACACACACTCACTCCACTGGTTTCCTATTTTAAAATCGTACTTATTTTTCTAGGCTTGGAAGCCACACTTCTCAGAATGCCATTCATGGAGGCAAGGGAGGATGTGACCAGAAAGGGTGGAATTTTGCCCTCCTTCCTTCTGTAGTACAGTTTTGAATTAAGCAAGCCATGCTAGTTAAACCAAAAAGAGAGAGTGGTGGCCATCTGGAAAAAAAAAGTAACCAGTTTATCTCAGTATGAACTTCCACAGACTACAGTCTACTTGTATTTGTAAAGGCTCTCACGGCTGGGATCTAATGGTTGTTGTGAGTTTTTCGGGCTCTTTGGCCGTGTTCTGAAGGTTGTTCTTCCTCACCTTTCGCCAGTCTCTGTGGCCGACATCTTCAGAGGACAGCATCTTCAGAGGACCAGAGCACGTCCTTCAGAGGACAGCATCTTCAGAGGACAACACTCTGTGCTCTGGTGCAGTTTGCTTGGGAGTGGAGTATACTCCACTACCACAGAGCCCAGAGTGTTGTCCTCTGAAGATGCCGGCCACAGAGACTGGCGAAACGTTAGGAAGAACAACCTTCAGAACACGGCCAAAGAGCCTGAAAAGCCCACAACAACCATTACAGTCTACTTCCTCAGACACTGTGCCTGTATCATACTGAAATAAATTGCTTATTCTTCCAGGTGCCACAAAAAGTTTGATTTTTGCCCCTGCTTGCTGGCTTCCCTGAAGTCATTGGACTGGCGGCTGGTGAAACTGGCACACAAAAGACCTCTTAAGTAACTGGCCCAGGAGGGTTGTGCTAATATTCTGGTGACGAAGATGACGGGTAATTGAGAGGCACACTGGACTGAAGTTTATCATCATTCTGTTGTGAGAAGATGCTGATATGGACAATCGGAACTGGATCTGTAACGTTTGTGCAAGAAAGCCTTCAGATCTGCATTTGTACAGGGCCTTCAACCTGTGCAGTGTCTGGAAAAGTTACTTTTTGGATTACAATTCCCAGATGCCATCACAATGAGTTCAGAATGTCTTGTTGGGATTGATTATGTTTTACCAAAGCTTGGAAATGTTACTGTTTGTCTTTTAATTTATTTATTTTTTACCACATTTCACATAATTCCTAAAGTCATCATGCCATAGAATTCTGGGAATTGTAGTCAGGTCCTGAATATAACGGCAGTGATGATGACATAAGAAACACAATAACTGCCTTCTGTTTTCTATGGCACATGTTTTAAGCAGGAAAAATATTTTTAGCATCCGTGCTTGCCGAAGTTATGTTTTAGTGGGAGTAACTTGGTCAGCTCTGCTTTAGACTCCCCCACATCCATGGCAATAAGAATTGTAGGGATCATCTTGGTCTCAGTAACTTACATCATTTTTGTCTAACTTTCTGCTTTGGTTTGACCAAGTCATCCATTTTTCTGTTACAGGGACCTAAAACTGGATAATGTATTACTGGACCACGAAGGCCACTGCAAACTGGCTGACTTTGGAATGTGTAAAGAAGGCATCCTAGATGGCGTCACTACAGCCACGTTCTGTGGGACCCCAGACTATATTGCCCCCGAGGTACAGGAACGGGTTCCCCCAATACTGGGGCTTCGCATTCTCTTAGCGACTCTCAGCAAACCCACATTTCCCATCAGCTTGGCCAGTGGAAGTGGCGCAGCTGCTTTGTTGAATATATTTAATCTTTGAGTCAAAAACATAAATGTTTGCCGGTGAGCAAATATTCGTGTCATCGTGACGAACTCAACTTTGAATGTGTGTTTGTGAAATCAAGCACTCAGAAATGTGTCTACAGAATTGCCTCCAACCTGTGAGCTCCAATGCAGAGCCTACAATGCCTAGAATCCACCAGCCAGGTGGAAACAGCATTTCACCTCTCTGTGCATATAAGTCAGCTGTTTTCAGCTGGCAACGATATATACACATCTGTCTCTTGCAAATAACTAGTGCTGATGGGTAACAGAAGAATTACTTTCCTCGTCTTCCAATGGAAGAGCATCTATGCTAATATGGAGACAGTTGTGCCCAGCAATGTTGCTACGCGGATACCCCTTCAGTTCCCCAGTTCTAGTCTTTGTGGGTATTAATAGCAAATGAATGCTGTGTTCTTTGTACAGTACATGCTCTGGTTCAACCCTTGGGTACCATCTCTGTCTCCTTGGAAGGGTCATTCTCCCTTTTATTGTGCCCTGTAATCATCTTGATTTCCCAACTCTTGAAGTCATCAATGTGAATTCCCACCCCCCAAAAAAATGAATGGTAGGAAAGCTTTGTCTGTGATATTATTGACCATATGGTAGCAAGAGTACTAGATAAGCCAGCTGTTGCACACCTGGAAAAGATTCAAAGGACATCCTACTCTGACCTTGCCTGAAAGCCTTTCAGTTCCTCTCCAGCCAGGTGACACCCCCATAACACCACCCCGCCTCATAGTGGAATTCCTGCAAAGGACAAATCCAGCTCTCCATTTCACAAGAGAATGGAAAACATTCCTCTTCAATGGATAGGAAACTCTGTTCAGTGGGTGGTACAGAAGGATCACGGAATCCATGGGGCATCAGGTCCAAACCTCCCCCATGGATGCTAAAAGCCATGGAAGTATCAAACAATATACATTTCATGGTCCCTCTAGTGTCCAGTTTTGCTAAGTACATCCTGCAAATATACATAAATATGTATTTCTCGATTGTTGTTGTTTTTATTGAGAGAGAGTGGATAAGTGAATCAGCGGATACTGATCCCACGGATAGGGGATCCTACTGTATTTGATTTCTGATACTTTTTGTCACATGTAAGTCTGGTGTTGCAAGTATCCACTGTGGGCACAAACAGAGACTTAAGAGTAGCTTGGACAGGGTTATGGATTTGGGCCCATTCCTCCTCCCACCTTGGCTTCCACCTTTGGTTTTCATTCTTGCTAATCCCGCCTCGGTTGTTTTGCAGATTCTCCAGGAGATGCTCTATGGTCCAGACGTAGACTGGTGGGCAATGGGAGTCCTGCTCTACGAGATGCTCTGTGGCCATGCCCCTTTCGAGGCGGAAAACGAGGATGACCTTTTTGAAGCCATCCTCAATGACGAAATTGTCTACCCCACTTGGCTCCAGGAAGACGCAGTGGCAATCCTGAAAGCTGTACGTATCGGCTTGACGCATGCCCTTTTCCTTTGTANGTTGGTTGGTTGGTTGGTTGGTTGGTTGGTTGGTTGGTGTTGAACTTATGAGGTTCTGAGAGGACAGGGGCACAGTATTTATTGAATCAATTGATTGATTGATTCAATAAATACTGTGCCCCTGCCCTCTGAGGATGGATTAGATGCAAGAGATTCAAGAGAAGGAGAAGAAATTCAACCATGATTACTTAGCTGGAGAATAGTTCTGAGAGGGCAGGGGCACAGTATTTATTGAATCAATTGATTGATTGATTCAATAAATATTGTGCCCCTGCCCTCTCAGAACCTCATAAATTCAACACCAAAGATGTCAAAGTGTTGTACTTGCCTCCAGACACAACTTTTCTAATTCAGCTTCTAGATCAAGGGGTCAGTAGTACCTTCAAAATTTTGGTTAATCTCCCATTGAACAGGTAAACCAGGACTGATGCTCCTTCACTTCTACAATCAGGTGAAATCAAATGAGTTCAAGATGGTTTTAGGACCTTTTAGTTAATCAATTAAAAGGATTCCTAGTGTAGTATAGCGGAGAGAACGACCGACTAGGAGAACAGAGTTAGAATCTCCCTTTGGCCATGGAAATTCACTGAGCAAGAGGAACTGGTAAACCAATCCTTAAATATCTCAATTATCTTGAAAGCCCTATTAGGGTCACCATAAATCAGTTGCAGTTTGATGGCACAGAACCACAGTGAATGAAAAGTCAACATGTGTGGCTTTTGAGTGCCACAGAAAGCCAACATTTGCAGCTCTTTATTTAAACCCAAAAGGTGAGCAAGGAGGGACAGGAGAGAGGTGCGGGTGGGCACAAAACACCAGTTCGGTCCTTTGTGCCAGTCCATTTCTCAGCCAAACAGATGTTCAGGGCTTCCCAAGACCTCCTCCTCCAGTGGGCACCCACTCAGAAGTGGCGCCTGGGGGAAGTGTGGTAAGGAAGACCAAACAGATGTTCAGGGCTTCCCAAGACTGCCTCCTCTAGTGGGCACCCACTCAGAGGTGGCGCCTGGGGGAAGTGTGGTAAGGAAGCTGGGGCGCTGGGCTCTGAGAGGGTGCCCACCAGGGGAGGTGAGCCTGGGAAGCGCCAAACAACTGTTCGGCCAAGAAATGAACCAGCAGTTTTGTGGTTGTAAGGAACCCCCTGAGGGCACGCCACTAGGGAAGGAGCCTCTCGAGTTACTTACCACCCTTTGAACCCTAGGCTGGGTGAGACCCGGAGGGTGTGTCTGTTAGCACTATGGGTAAGTTTCTAACCTGGATTTTCCACCTGTCTAGGTGAGACCTGGAGGGTGTGTCTATTAGCACTATGGACAAGTTTCTAACCTGGATTTTCCACCTGTCTCTTCGCCCAAGACAGCAATCTTTTCTGATTGTGCACCTTTTACTGAATGCACCAACCAGGCAAGGTAGACCACCCATAATAATGAAATTAGTGAATCTAGCCTCTTGGCCAAGGCACCTTCTTTAGACACCCAAATCCTTTTCCCCCGCAAGGATCACACTTGGGTAAAATATTTAAATCCCCGCAAGGATCACACTTAGATAAAATATGTAAAAGTTTATTAAAATTATTTAAAAGGTATAAAGAATTCAAAAGGCAATTGTACAGTTCTAAAACAACACAGTAGCAATAAGCAATGCATATTCAGATAATTATGAAAGCATTTCTCCATACAATAATAAAAACTAACTAATTATGCCTAATAACTATTCTCCAGCTAAGTAATCATGGCTGAATTTCTCCTCCTCCTCTTGAATCTCTGTTGCATCTAATCCATCATCATCATCAGACAGACAGACAGATAGACAAACGAATAGCTAGCTCAACAGACTGACGCCAAGTAGCCTCTTGCTGGATCTTAAAACCAAGTTCCCCCAACATGACGTTATCCAATCAGGTTCAGGTCTTTTGTCCAGTAACTTCACCCTCAAAATGTAACTGCTCTCAGTCCCCTCCTTTCAGTTCTCATGAGACTCTTTGCAGACAAGGAATTAAGAGTGGAATCTGGGCTCTGTGGCACATTCATTGCTACAGCCTGTTGTTTTTGTTTAGTCGTTAAGTTGTGTCTGCCTCTTCGTGACCCCATGGACCAGAGCACGCCAGGCCCTCCTATCTTCCACTGCCTCCCAGAGTTGGGTCAAATTCATGTTGGTCGCTTCGGTGACACTGTTCTCTTGCCTTCACACTTTCCCAGCATCAGTGTCTTTTCCAGGGAGTCTTCGCTTCTCATGAGATGACCAAAGTATTGGATCCTCAGCTTCAGGATCTGTCCCTCCAGTGAGCACTCAGGGTTGATTTCCTTCAGAATGGATGAGTTTGTTCTCCTTGCAGTCCAGGGGACTCTCAAGAGTCTCCCCTGCATCAAGACTCCTCTCAAGAGTATTGATGCAGCCTGGAGCAAACTAAATCTTTCTCATGCAGATAAGCGCCACCTGGAGCAGCCTAGAGCAGTGGGCCTCCAGATGTTCTTGGACTTCAACTCCCAGAAATCCTGGCCAGCAGAGGTGGTGGTGAAGGCTTCTGGGAGTTATAGTCCAAGGTTGGGGACCACTGGCCTAGAGAACAAAACCCATCAGATTTCCTCACAGTGGCCATCTCTAATGTGTAGAGATAGTCTAGGGAAAAATGGATAGGAAGGGGGAAAAATCTCTCTTTCCCATAATAGACCTAGTGAGGTCACCCACTAAAGGTCTCTGGTAGAAGACTGATGTGAGACAAAAAATATGTCTTTATGTACTTTATAGTAACAGTATGGAATTTGCTACCATAAGAAGTAGTTACAGCTTTAAGAGAGAATTAGAATTATTCATGGAAGATAAAACTATCCATGCTACTACTTATTGTGGTGCATTCTTATCCTGTTAATGGATAAGTTATAACGCCAGTCCTAGAAAAGTCATAACGCAAGTCCTTGAATCTGACTGCCAAGAAAACCAGTGATCTAGGGAGTTGCAGGCTTTCCACGCTCCACCCGGACTTTAGACTAATAAGTAGTTTGAATCTGAATAATAAGATGAGTCATCAGATTGATGGAAACGGTTAGCCAGTTTACAATCACATACTGTAGTATTATGGACAATTACTGTTTTTCCTTGAAATTTGGAGTCTATATCTATTGTCTCAAACAGAAAGAAAAGTAAACAGGAAAGGGTTAGGTTTGTAAATCCCAGATTTTTCCCCTTTAGGAAACCTCGAGACAGAGTCTGTTGTCTCTTGGATGACTTAGCTGTTTCCTCTTAGAGGGCATCAGGGAATTCCCTTTGAATGGAAGGTCTTGGAAGGTCAGTTCCCTTCCAGGAACACTCTTGAGAGTAGCGTCATCAGGAAGACAGAAGTGACCTAGACACCCTAGGGGGTTGACGTGGGAGGGTCTGTGTGACCAAAGTTCTTCTCTTACTCCTCTTTCAATACCTAGTTCTTAATTTTTGTTGGTCTTTCACGACCAATAACACATCCATAGAACAGGAGAGCCAATCTCCGATAAAACAGCTCACATAGAATGAATCCATGTACAGTGGTGCCCCGCATAGTGAGGTTAATCCGTTCCGGATTAACCCTCGCTATGCGGAATCGTCGCTAAACGGGTAGGGAAAAGGTATTGAAACCTTGCTTACTTACCCGTTCAGCGAGGATTCCCCTTGCCGGCAGCCATTTTTGCGCCCTCGCTAAGCGAGGCCAGGGCATGAAAACAGCTGCCAGCAGCCATTTCTGGGCTTCCGACGGCCATTTTGGAGCTGCCTACTTCCTACCCAACTTGGTGATTCTTTCCATATATAGCTTTGGGAATTCACCAAAGCTTGCTTATTTTGTCAGAACTGTGATATTTTATAGATGTTTAGAAACGACTTGGTCTAAAGGCTTCAAAGTAAGGTACAACAATCACAATATACAATATAAAGTAATGCACAAGACCAATGACTTTAGGCTTTAGCTTTTCCTCCTCCTTCAGGAATTTGCTTTCTTTTAAAAACATAAGTAAATTCAGCTTGTATTGCTGAATAATTCAGTAATGTAGGTATGGAGTTTGATTCCCCACTGTGCCCCCTAGGAGAAGAGCCAGCCTGTGTGGCCTTTTAAAACATAAGTAAATTCAGCTTCTATTGCTGAATAATTCAGTAGTGTAGGTATGGAGTTCAATTCCCCGCTGTGCCTCCTAGGAGAAGAGCCAGCTTGTGTGGCCTTGGGCAAGCTGCACAGTCCCAAAAAGAGGGAATGGTAAACCACTAGTACTCTCTAGCTAGTAAACCCTGCGAAGGGTCACCATAAGTAGGAATTGTTGTTGTTGTTGTTGTTGTTGTTGTTGTTGTTGTTGTTGTTGTTGTTGTTGTTGTTGTTGTTGTTGTTGTTGTTGTTGTTAAACTTGCCTTTGGCAGACCTAGGCAGACACTTGTGATCGGCTGTTATGACTTTTCCCAAGGTTCATTAAAGGGAGTCAAGAGAGTTATTTTAAGCTCAACATTCCATCCTATATGTCGTTTTCCTTGCTACGTTGTCCTTTTGTTTTAAGGCAAATTTCAGAGCCGTTCATATATTACAGCAGTGGTATGGGACCAGTTTTCCCCACATCTATGGCACTTTTGACGTAAAAGTTAGAGTTTGGGTCTACAATTCCAACGTCTTCCAGCCTACTGGCCAACATGATCAGGTCTATTACCGCAACATTTAAAATAATTATCATCAAATGAGAAGTCATGAGTCGCGTAGATTCTTTTAGTCCAGACAGGATCAGGGGACATGATGGCAAAAACCTGAAGGGGGGATTGTCTGTGCCCTTGTGGGGGTGGGTCATAGCTGTGCCTTGGGACAAAACCAAGTGACAGGTGGCCCGTACACCATAGTCTTTATGAATAAAAGGCCCTTCACATCCTGAGTTTTAATTGTGAGGTGCTAAATGTTAAATTTTCAGTAATCAACGAGTTGAATGACCAAATCAGATGTGATCAGAGCTTGAAAATCATTTATTTTAAAAAATGTTTTGTCCTCTTGGAATATACCGCATTTTTCTGTGTATAAGACTATACTTTTGTCTAAAATCTTTAGACTAAAAATTGAGGGTCGCCTTATACACGGAAGTAAGCTGAGGAGAAAACAAAAACAAGTGGAGCGGAAAGCAGGGATCAAAGCTATCCTGCAGCGCTTTGATCCCTTTTCCCCCCACCCTTGCTAAGCCCCACTTAGATTTCTTAATTTTGGATTAGAAAAGTGGGGGGCGTCTTATACATGGGGGCATTTTATATATGGAAAAATACAGTAAATTACCAAATGCCAATGCCATTTTATTTATTTATTTATTTTAAATATTTTTACCCTGCCTTTATTCTAAGAAAGGGCCCAACACAACTTATATAACCCCTGTTACGGCAGCTCCACTGGTAGAATTCACAGTCTTCATTCTAACCTTTCAAGCCCTCAATGACATGGGTCCAAGCTATACCAAGGACCCTGTCTCCCTTTATGAGCCTTGCATGGTGCCTGCTATATACAGCAAACCTCATTACTGGGAAATTGAAATATTCTTATTCTTAATGGGGAAAGGCACCGGAAGTGCACCAGAACAGTCCAAAAGGGCAAAATTTTCACAGGCTCACAAGAGGCAAAGTATATGATTTCTCCGTAAGTAAACCGCTGGGAAATTTTCACAGGCAAGCCACTGCTGCTGAGTTCATTTCCTGAAATTTGGACGCCTGAAGCGAGCTCAGGCATTGCCAGATTTATCAGACTGCGGGTTACTACAAATTCCATCCAGCCAAAAAGGGGCCCTGCCTACTCATCTTCCTGCCCCATAAATGTGCATACCTATACAGTGGGGTCTTGACTTAAGAATGCATACCTATACTCAGAAGCATGTAGCATCCTTATCAATGACCTGGATGAAGGAATAGAGAGTATGCTGATTAAATTCACATATGATACCAAATTGCGAGGGGTTGCTAATTCCACCGAGGACAGGATTAAAATTCAAAATGACCTTGACAAATTAGAGTCCTAACGAAATGAATCTCAACAGTAAGAAATGTAAGGTCCTACACCTAGGCAGAAAAAAAAAATGAACTGCACAGATATAGGATGGAAGACACCTGGCTAGACAACAGTACCTGTGATAGGGATCTAGGAGTCTTGGTAAACCACAAACTGAACATGAGTCAGCAGTGTGATGTGGCTGCCAAGAAAGCCAATGCAATTCTTGGTTGCATCAATAGGAGTATAGTGTCCAGATCAAGGGAAGTGATAGTTCTGCTTTGGCCAGACCTCACCTGGAGTATTGTGTCAAGTTCTGGGCACCTCAATTCAAGAAGGGTGTTGAGAACCTGGAACGTGTCCAGAGGAGGGCGACCAAAATGGCCAAAGGTCTGGAAGCCATGTCCTATGAGGAGTGGCTTAGGAAGCTGCGAATGTTTAGCCTTACAAAAAAGGTTAAGAGGGAACATGATAGCCATGATTAATTATTTGAAAGGATGTCATGTTGAAGAGGGAACAGGTTTGTTTTCCAGGCTCTAGAGACTAGGACATGGAGCAATGGTTTCAAACTACAGGAAAACAGATTCTATCTGAACATTAGGAAGAACATCCTGATGGTCAGAGCTGTCCGGCAGTGGAACAGGCTGCCTCGAAGACTGGTGGAGTCTCCTTCGGAGGTTTTTAAGCCGAAGCTGGATGGCCATCGTTTGGGAGTGCTTTGATGGATATTCCTGCATGGTGGGGGGGTTGGACTTGATGGCCCCCGTGGTCTCTTCCAACTCTGTGATTCTTTGATTCCAGAATCTCCCAGCCAACACAGTATTAGGGGATTCCGGAAAGTGTAATAGAGAAAATAACTTTCCTAAGCTCTATATAAAAGGATGTAACTTTCTCTCCATAGTCTGGTGTCTATAAAGAGACTTTATTGCACCACACCCCCCAATTTACACGTCTTAATAGAACTTGAGAGGCCCCCAGTGTGGTGCAGTGGATAGAGTGATGGACTAGGACTCTGGAGACCAGGGTTCAAATCCCTGCTCAGCCATGGAAACTCATTGGAAGTGGTAAA